CCAATAGCAATATGTGACAATAAAAATATTCTAACTCACAAAGATTTATCTCCAAACCTCTATTCCCTTTTTAAAGGAATGTCTTTTGATCCAATATTCGACAAAAACCATTCTGAATTGTTCTTTGTCGATCAAATAAAATCCCCCTTATTATCCTATCGTTATTGATACTTTCTGGAAATTATTTTCATTTGATTTGTAAGCTTTTTAATTCGTTCTTGCGAATTTCCATCCCTTAAATGTCCAATCCAACCTTGCATCCCGTCATCAAATTTTTTTACATACATAGGCACATCATAAACAAAAGGATTTTTTTTTTTTTTTTAAACAAAAAAAAAAAAAACCAAAATAATAATGTAGCATCAAAATCAAAAGGGTTCAACATTTGCGTCCGTAAACGAAGTCATGATTCCTTTCTGTTCGAGTAACCTTTTGATAGCACATTCCAAAAAAGGATCACCGAAATAAAGGCTCGTGAAATGAAAAACCTTGAGAGAGTTTGTCGCGATATTTTCAATAAATGATTTGACAGCGTTAGGAGATGGATAATAGTTAGTTGCTTCAATAGCAATATCCCAATATTGAAGTGTAGGTGGTAAATGTTTCGCCATTTCTGAGAAGATTGAATCATCAAAGTTATCTTCTGTATAGAATTTTAGTTCTTTCAACTTTTGACATGAATCTAAAATCGAAATAATTTCCGAATTCGATAGCGATACGAATGATAAATGTTGAAGATTTTTACAATTTTCAGCTATGGTATTTGCGATCTTGGATCTATCTTCTTGTGGTGGACTTGTAGAGGTGATTTTAACGTGTCGAAGATTATTATTTGCTGATTCGATTATCTTGGCAATAAAGGTTTTCGGAAATGCAACATCATAAAATATATTATTGATGAACTTGAATTTTTGTAAATTTGGAAACATGTTTGGCCAAGGCTTTAAACATGTATCATTCGTTCTTTTGCAATTCGTAATTTCGAATGATTTTAAGTGAATACACCATGTTAATGCATCAAATGCATTATTATTAAAGTATTGGAAGTCGATGTTGCATAGTTCAAGTTTTACTAAAGAATTCTTTTGACTTTTTACAGATTGAATGATTGTTGAAATGTTTTGATAATATCCAGTGATACCAAGAT